CCCCCCCCCCCCCCCCCCCCCCCGCATCAGGAGGTATTTCAATAAGCGCTGCAATCCGAGTGGTTTTCCATGTGAAATTGTAAGCCCACGTTCGTGGCAGCAAAGCAAGCATCGTAACCTTCCAGAAGCTTTACTTCCCCTTTCCGTCCTACATCGACTCAAGCAATTAATTAACAAAGAAAATCAGAAGCAAACTCCACAGACCAAAATTCGTTTTCCATCAGCAGGTTAAAAGTGCGAAAAGGAAAGGGCCACAGGAGGAGGGAACTGGGACACGATGGAGCAGCAATAAGTGCGGCGAAAACCACCGTATTAGTTAGTTCTCGATGACGCTTCTTACTAACAGACTGTAAAGCAGTGAACCAAGTACGCATCTTTTTGAGAAGCAGCAGTAGCAGCATAATGGACGACGGTCGCTTAAAGTGCAAAACGGTGCTCCAGAAGTTACGGAACCGCGGCCCAGTGGTTAGACCCAATTCGCAATTCTTACATACACATGCACACACATTCATGAATAATTGAGGGAAAACTGAGAAACTCTACTACTTTTTGGAAGCAAATTTGACAGAGGGAGGAAGTGAATTTTAGCAAAATACCGTTGACACCCCGCTCCCGGCCGCAATTCCTGCTGCAGTAATGGAAATATCTGTTTCCTGAGAAAAGGACCAAAAAGCAGTATTTTTCAGCCTTTTAGGTTTAAAAACCTTATTTAGTAGGACGTTTTAGAAGAAAAATTAAGAAATTTTTTTTTCTAGCATAAGATGAGGCAGCGAGTACCAACCACGGACGCGCGAATGGTAAGAGAGACAAATTACTAGCCAAGCTGTTGGACAGTGAATTTGGGTCTGGAGTCTCACAATCTTCTAAATCCTTTTCAGCCCTGAATGCTAGCAACAAAGGACACATTAAATTACAAGATTAGAATGAAAGTTCGAGCACTTACCCCAACAGTGCATCGACAATTAACTGGAGATTCAAGAGTGGCAGCGGACTGCTTGATTATTTATTTATCTGTGATTAAAACTAATGAAGGACCAACGGAGATGAGTGATTTGTAACACCGTCACAAACCACTGACCGGTCAGTGGTGAGCCTGTCAGGACAACAGGAGCAGCTCAAGCTACGACAACAATATTTCCCTCTCAGAGCAATCAATCCGACGGAAAACCATCCGACTGATTCACGGAGCAGAATATAAGCCTTTCGCCGGTCAGAAATGTGACGTACACACAGCTGGGCACAGCATGAGAAGAGTTTCGTCCGTGAGACAGACCGGGCGGAACAAAAGTGGATACTCGGATTCGACCCGAAGCTTGCAGCTAATCAGCATAATCGCATAATCAATAGACCGTTATAGGAGGGAAACGGGAAGGGAGGAGTGGGAGGGGAAGGAAGGCGATGAGGAGGCAACTGAGCTCCCAACCAGCTACAACAACCCCCAGCCCCTCCAACCAACCAAAAACTCGCTCATCAACTTCCACCATTTCAACAAACCACATCTCTAACCCCCACCCACGCCCACGCACATACACACACATACAAAC